AAAAAAAAAAAAAAAAAAGAAGAAGAAGAAGACTCTGAAGAAGTAAAGATGCTAAAAATCTGGTCCATTGTCCCTTACAATAGCATTCACGCAACAGGCTCACTTGGACCTTGAAGACCAATGTACATGACGTCAACACCATAGCCGACCTCCCTCATGCACCAGGTACGTATCTCGTCTCCCCTCATCAGACCCTGACCACCCACACTCGCCTCCTTCCTGAAGACCACTGATCACTCTCTTACCCCCTAGCGCCCTGCAGCTCGGCCTTGGCTGCCCGCGCTCCGCTGCCCAGCTGCGCCCCTCTCACCTCGCTAGCGCCCGCACGCGCCCTGGTCACCACAGCAGCACGCAGCCTATCGCGCAGCAACGCAGCAGCGTGACCGCATTGCCTGCGTGGGCCAGAATGCCAGTAGCTTTCGGTCGGGCCCCAGTGCCTGCGCCCAGGCCCAGTGCCGCAGTTGAGTGCCTGGGCTCTTTTCAGTTGGGCACGGCTTGAGTTTCCACCAGACTTGGGCCGTTTGCTGCATTTGCACAGGACCCGGGGTATGTACGTCGACAATGCTGCTTTTGCGTAGGCCCGTAGCCACTTCATGATGTATCTGTCCTGCATTGTGTGTTTGTGCCCAGCCGCAACTACCAAGGCCTGGGTCAAACTGTACGACACAGCTTAGGGAGGCTCACGCTTCCATTCAACCAACTGGCGTGCTGCAACAGCCTGAGTAGCCACATATGGAAAATGTCCAATTTTGGCCTCTTCTAGTGAATATTCAGGACCGCCTTCACTTAAGGCGGGCACTGGGCTTGCTGAGGGCCTCTGCCCCGAACATGTGCATGTCTGATAGCGGCCCTGTGAGGGCTCATTCCTTGCATCTGTATATATTTTTTTTTCTCTCAATTTTTTTCGCACTACAGACCATCGCGGCACTCCGGACTCCGGAGTGCATTAGGACGTTACTAGCAAACGGAGCATAGTGGCACTACTAGCGAGCTCTAGTCTGTGCGGGGAGTAGTACCCGAGCTCCTAACCCCTGCCGTCTTCACCTGAACATAACGCCCGGTCATTATAGCTGTTTTTGTGGCAACTTTCAGTCTAGATACAGCCATAATGACCAGGTGTTATATTCGGGTGAAGACGGTAGTGAAGGATGGCAGGACATTTAACTCCTTCCAAGATCAGCTAGGGCGAGCGAGCGACCCAACTATCTCAGCTGGTGAACCCCAAGTGCGCCGCAGGAGGCTGTGGGGGATCGAACCCACGACCTCCTGAATGCCACTTGTGTGCTCTACCAACTGAGCTAGGCCGCTGGGCCCTTTGAGCCCTACCAACTTATTGCAAGTGCCTGAGAATGAATCTGGTCGGAAATTGGTCGGAAAGCCCTAACAGTGGTGCTGGACAACATATGTGATGCGGGATTTCTTTGTTTTGTTGTTCAAAGGACACGTGGTTTTTATACCATTTTGGTAAGGGAACCAAGCTTGAAGTGTTTGGGCGTCGCTCCACTACTGTCGACATCCACAAAAGACAAAAATCATGGCGGTGTATCTTTCCATGTTCTAGCGGAAGACTCACTCTTCGTTTTGCACATTTCGAGGGCAGTGGAGCGGCGCCCTTTGCCTGTTCAATCTCTCACTTTGGAATATGTGTATGAGGTTGGCATGTCGTCAATTTAGGACCCCGAGCGGGTAAGGATCAGATAAGAGTGCTAGCAGCGGCTAGGTTATACCATCAGTGATACGAAACAAACTGAGTTGCCAGCTTGCCAGTTATTTTGAGTTTTGAGTCTTTGTGACCGAAATGCTCATTATACTTCTTGTCGGCGAGATGGTATTGCAGGTTCCTTTCAAAAGGAATTGATTTCGCAATCGTTAAGGAGGGAGTGGACCGCGATGATGATTACGTGGAGCAGTTTTTGGAAAAGGGCGTTGCGTGCGTGACTCCTGAGTTCTTTCTGGACTTCGTCTTGAAACCATCGGCGCCTCGGGAACAGCACATTCTGTACTCCACAGAGGATTGTGTGAAAGCAGTGCTCAAAAGACAGAGGGCAAGGATCGATGCCGCGACTTACGTCTCTCAATTGCCACCCTCTCAACACGAATGCGAGGACAGTGATCAAAGTGCCAATCTTGATGTGCTCGCTTGCGAGGTTTGTGGGAAGGCAGACAAGGAGGACAAAATGGTTCTCTGTGGAGATGATCTGGGAAAGAGGGGCTGTGGAATCGGTACGCATATCTTCTGCATGACGCCACCTCTGAAGAGGGTTCCCGACGAGGATTGGTTCTGTAATAAATGCAAGTCCCCGTATGACTGGACGTCTCTGTAGGATCGATACAGGCAGGCGTGGCAGGCATGTTGTGCAATTGGTGTGTGAGCCTCGAGGTGAGTCAATGGGTGGATGGATGTGTGTAGAGTGATCCCACTTGGATGAGAGTGGTTTTTGTTTCCCCTCGGTTTTTAGTTGGTCTCCCTGGTGGCGTCTTGTAAGTGAATTTGCCTTTTCTGAAAGTTTTTTTTTTTTGTCTTCTGACGAAGCAAAAAGCAAGCTGGCAAAGTAGAATAGCATGGACCAATCAGTCCCATTTCACTGGCAGAGATTGCTTGCTCTTGGTCCGAGCCTATCCATGCAAAACCAACATAGTATGAATTCGCATTCCTTAGGCCTGAACTTGTTATTTGCCTGGCATGTGAGTTCTGTAGAATAGTAACCACTGGCTTCATGATTTGGTTTAAAATGTGGACCAAGGGTGCATGATTTTGTTTAGAATGTGGACCAAGGTGTGGCATGATTTGGTTTACAGTGTGGTGTGGACCAAGGGTGCATGATTTGGTTTACAATGTGGTGTGGACCAAGGGTGCATGATTTGGTTTAGAATGTGGACCAAGGTGTGCATGATTTGGTTTACAATGTGGTGTGGACCAAGGGTGCATGATTTGGTTTAGAATGTGGACCAGGTTCTAGGGAAAGACTGGACTTTTCAAAACTGTCTGACCACCTCAAGATGTGACCAAAGGATGTGGAAAACCCACATCATGCGCGATGCAGTCCTTTCGTCTGACTTTGAGTGCATATGGTTGGTCTAGAATGCAAAGTATTTAACTGTCAATCTTGAGGCTACATGATTTGGTTTAGAATGTGGACCAGCCTATTGGGAAAGTGCACTTTCCCAAACCGTCCGACGGCCTCGAGATGTCACCAAAGGTTGGCAAAAAGAGCACGTCATGTAAAACGCAGTCCTTTTTTTCATCTCGGTTCGAGTCCACATTGTTGGTCTTGAATAACAACTTAAGAAGTAGTTAACTGGAAACCAACCTTGAGGCTGCATAATTTGGTTTAGAGTGTGGAGCAACATATTGGGAAAGTGGATTTCCAAATCGTCTGACTGCGTCACGATGTGAGCGAAGGCTGTTGAAAACCCACATCATGTAGAACAGTAGAATTGAGTCTGGTTCATCTCAGTTTGCGTCCGCATGGTTGACCTAGAATGCAAAGTACTTGCTGAGAAGGTGAAACTCTGCTCTCCTGAACTCTGTTGCTGGTGCACAAAATGTGCATCACTGGTTTCCTGAGCCCTGTATGGCTTAAAATTAGATCCATACACCTGCAGATTGATGTGGTCGTGCGAAGAACGTAGGCCGTTGCTTGAAGATGTTCACACATTGCTTGTGGAGAGAGCATTCTTCATTCAGACCTTTTCGCTTCGATGGATTTTCATTATAACATTCCGATGTGCATATCCCACTTGCAATGAAGGGCGGCTCAACAATTGGATGAGGACATGGAAAGCAGAGTAGGTGTCCTAACTTGTGTAGTGAGGTAAGGAGCATAGTTGCCGCCGTAACTAGTGTGTATTCGAGTCGATTCAGCAGACGAAGATGCTGCAGCATAGGAGATACGATGCGTAGATGTCATGTTGCACTGCTCTACTTTCATGTGCTGAAGATATCCTGCTTTTTATGTTGCTTCTCTTGCAGTGACATCATTGGGAATGGTGTCCCAAATGGGACTGCACACAAAAGATTGCAATTTGCCTCCCATGCACACTCCATGGTTTCGAGTTTTTCTTCACAGTATCTCTCTGTTAGAGAGAGAGAGAGAGAGAGAGAGAGAGAGAGAGAGAGAGAGAGAGAGAGAGAGAGAGAGAGAGAGAGAGTTGAAGAGAGAGGATTTCTGAGTGTTTGTTTGGGAGGAAAAGTCGTCTGCATCAGACATGAAGAGTATATGGAATTGAATGTTGTCTACTACTGTACAGTACGCTATTCTTTTCTTTTTTCCTTTTCTTTCTTTTTTCTTTCTTTTTTTCTAAGACGTGCTCTAATCTATTCGTGGCGAGCAGCACGTGCTGGGAATCGGCCCCTTGTTTTCTGCGAGCTTGCTAAGGTTTTGCTATTTTGCCGCTTTTTTTGCGTCGAATTATCTCGAATACCCTCTCTCTTTCTTATTGACGTTACGGTGCTCGTGTATTGGTGTTTGCTCAAGCAGATTAAGTTTTTCAAATCCTGTGTGTTTCTTGTGTACTCTGGGAGTATGGTAAACCAATGACAACCTGGCACTTTTTTTTTTTTTTTTTTTTTTTTTTTAACCTGACACATTTTGTCATAGGTATAGTCCGACAACTTTTTGCTGAAACAGTTCCAGCAATGGTTTTGAGGGACGTCAACACAGTTCAGACTCTCAGAGTCTTCAGACCAATGAAGGAGTTGTAGTGGGACTTGTTGCGATTGTTGCGAGGAACGAAGAAGGGCCATAGGATCGTATCGTTGGATTTTTGAAGGGGGGGGGGGGGGGGGGGGGTGGGGGGGGGGTGGGGGGGGGGGGGGGGGGGGGGGGGGGGGGGGGGGGGGGTTTCTCTTGCACCCAACGATTCTAGTTGCCTGCCTTTTATTCCTTCTTTTTTGTTTTGCTGTTATTTTCCTTGCTTCTGTAACTTGTTTTCCTTTGTTCTCTGTTATTTTCTGTTCCTTTTACATCTCCCCTTCCCCTCCCCACTTCTCCTGTCCTCTTCTTTATCCCCTCCCTTTGCTTTCCTCCTCTTGATCGAGGTAAGAGCACAGTATGGAAAGACTGCTGTTGGTCGCTTGCAAAAGCGCTTGGGAGATATATCTGGATCACCATCTCTCTCTCTCTCTCTCTCTCTCTCTCTCTCTCTCTCTCTCTCTCTCTCTCTCTCTCTCTCTCTCTCTCTCTCTCTCTCTCTCTCTCNCTCTCTCTCTCTCTCTCTCTCTCTCTCTCTCTCTCTCTCTCTCTCTCTCTCTCTCTCACACACACACACACACACACACACACACACACATGCACTTTACAAAGGTATAGCCCATGCAAGTTTTTTGTTTTCAACTTTTCATATGTATGAATGGAAGAGTGGCCTTCGGGCTAGTCAATATCGTACTCGTGTATGACATTCTGATGTGGCATGTATTTTGTGGATAGGGGTTGGACCGGCAATGCCTATAGAATTGCAGTCGGTGTGGCTCTGTGTTCCTAGCAAGTAGGAGCCACGCAGCATGTGACATCTGTCTATGCCGTGCCACCCCACACAGCAATTGAATGTGGTGCTTCCACAGTCTACACCCTCACCTGTCCGGTCTGTAGGGACGGCCATTTACGATAGGCAACACTTGCTCTCAGCTCAAATTTCCGTGGCTGGCGTCTCGTGCTATTCTGTAGTAGTCTGCTCCGACGGTGAGTATTGAGCACCCTGTGAAGTTTGCCTTGCTCTGTTCTAATCTCTGTCCCCCTTTTTCCCTCCTCTTTTTCCCCCCTTCTCTCTCCCGCCTCCCTTGCTTCCTGTCTAACTACCCCTCTCACCCCGTTCCTACCTCCCTACCCTTGTGTACTGCTGCCAAATGCATACAAATTAGCATTATCAAAGCACCAATACATGCCAGCTATCGGCTGCGGGCCCCGTTCGGAGGCCGGCCATCACCGATTCATTTTATCTATGGCGCTCGGCCTCCTAAATTTTGTGAGAGGCTCAAAACAGGTTCTCCAGTTTTGCCTGGGGACATGTACTGGTGGTTTAAGAGAACAGACAGAATGTAAGCTGAAGATCTGAGGAAAAATGAAGAGGAGTGTACCTCCCTCTTTACTCTGCCTCCGTTCATAGTGTGCAAGCTGGCCGTTTTGGCACACGGGCAGCTTGCGCTCAACCTCAATCAATGCGGCGAGTCTGGTACGCGAGAGGTACAGTGAAAAAGGAGCTGCAAGAAGAAATAAAAGGGGTACCCCAAAGAAAGTCAAAGTAAAGATAGTGAAGAAAGGACATTGGTTTTGTGCTTCATCATCCTTCATGTTGTTTTGCTATAGAGGTAAAGCTGTTTCAATTTTGGCTATATGCTCCTCTTAGTGTGCAATGTCCATCATGTTCTTTGCTATAGAGGTTGAGCTGTTTCAGTTTTGGATCTTCTCATATTTCTGGAAAAGTGGTTGTTGTTCTGACTTGTCTACAACACACACACACACACACACACACACACACACACACACACACACACACACACACACACACACACACACACACAAATCCACACATATATGCACACCTATAGAGAACAAGACACACAGGCGTACCGATCAGCAGATTCGTGGGTTCATATAGGTTTTCAATTAGCAGATTTGTGGGTTCGTTTCTGTCCGATTTTTTACTAGAAGCACCTCTCTTTCCTACTAGAATCACCATCACCTCTCTTTCTTACTAGAATCACCATCACCTCTCTTTCCTACTAGAATCACCATCACCTCTCTTTCCTACTAGAATCACCTCTCTCTTCAACCCATCTCCAGTCCGTCTGTGTGCTTCATCCGAAAGGCGTGGCAATTGACGCCGGGGCGCTTTTCAAGCTGTGCCGTACGTGGCAAGGTGGACAAAGATCGATGCGACGGATGCGTGAATTTGACTCTTTAGGGGATGCAATGGTTAAAAAAAAAAAAAAAAAAAAAAAAAAAAAAAAAAAAAAAAAAAAAAAAAATCATGCTTGCCCCAGGCTCGGAATATAATGGGCATATGCTTGCCCCAGGCTCGGAATATATTTTAACTCGACTGTTTCTTTTCTCCTTCATCCAAAACAAAATCATGTATGGTGCCGCAGCTTGCAGGGGTCCCCTCTATAGAGCCTTAGGAGTAGTGGTTGGTAGAGTGAAAGGCAAACAGAATTTAAGAGATTTAGGAAGAAAAAATAAAGAATAATAATGCATGGTACGGTGGTACCTATGTTTCCAGGGCTTGCTGTGACCATCCACCATCCTGTGGATGGAATGCAGCTCAGTGTACAGTCGAACGAACGGAACAGTATGTCCTAGGGACTTGAGATTGACTGCGGAGTGGAGCCACAGCCACACAGCCAGAACTACATATCGGAACAAACACTCTAACAATCAAACAACAAACACCAACTGCCACCGCGCTTGTACGTTGTGTATTACGTACACATATTCACAGGCTTTGGAACTTGATCCTCTATTATTGCTCAGGTTAGGGAGTTGCAGGACCCAATGGCTCTGACCGAGTCTGACGAGGCACACAGTCAGTCTTTCGGGACTCCCAATTTACCTGTATGGATTTCCCTGTCTCCATTCTCATATCCATAAAGTGAATGACTGTCGCTATATCTCTGTGTCAGCCCTGGCGATCGGAGTTGCTGTCGAGATCTATATGTTTATCTCATCTTCTTGACGGTGTGGACTTCGCTTTACTTTCTCGTTTTAACCATCTGTTTTTTCTTTTTCTTTTTTCGTCTTGTCAGCAGGATCGTACAAGCCTTCTGTGCACATTTGCAGCTTTTCAACCATCCGCTTCTCTCTTTCTCCATGTTGCAACGGTGCCTACTTCAGCAGGTTTCTGTAATCCTTCTGTGCATTTTCGCAGCTGTTTGACCATCCGTTCATCTCTTTCTGCATGTTGAAACAGAGTCCACTTCAGCAGTTCTGTATGGGTCTGCTGCTGTGCACATTTGCAGCTATCTGTCCATCCACTTGTCTCTTTCGCCATCCTCTTTGCCTCCTCACTGTTCACCCCACCTCCTCCTTCCTGTTTGTTATTCTGAGGTCCCTGTGTGCCTGCTCTACTGTTCACCCCACCTCCTCCTTCCTGTTTGTTATTCTGAGGTCCCTGTGTGCCTGCTCTTCTGTTGTAGATATCGATTCCCTGCCATCAGACAAGTTAAGTTGCTTCTGCTCTCTTCCCCCCCGCCCCCCCCCCTCTCCAATCCTTCCTCCTGCATGAACCGATGTTTGGTCCTCCTGGAAGCATTCGTCAGTATCTGTGAAGTCACCCAAGTCACCGCGGGCCTCATGTTTCCTTTCCAAAAATGGAAGCTCACGAGGTTCGTGCGCAGACTCTCTTATGATCTGCACCAACAGGATGTAGACCTTACTCCAGGTTTCCGTAAACTGCCCCCATTGTCCTCGTGAGGTCGTTCGAACATTCTGAATTTCGCCGCTACGTGCGCATAGTATGGCTCTCCTTCACTGTCGTTCTCGACAGACCGTTGCCGCAGTCTGCCCTGTTATTGTATTCTTGGGATTCCCATGCAGGAAGGAAGATTTGAACTCATGATATGTTCATGGACAGATACATGTGTGGACAAACCGTTCAGCCGAACGGGCAGGTAAGAACTTAGAAGGATTCAGTTTCTCTCCTGACCTGCATCTACCATACTCTCTGCTCACTGTAGTCCAAGCCCATCCAGCTATGGAGGCTGGGCTATGGCGCTGCCCTCAGCAGCGCCCTGCTTCCTGCACGACAGGACGTACCCTTATCGTTCTTAGTATCTGCCGCAAAGCTAATCCCCAACCTAAGTTGGGAGTATCTAACCTCCAACCCTTCATTCGACTTAGGTTGGGGGAGAGATTCTCCCTCCCCCCACCTGCTCCTCCTCATCTTACTGCACCTGGAGTCGAACTCTGGTCTGCGTTTCTTCAGTTCGTGGGTGTTCCAACTGAGCTAGGCCCATGGGTGTCGCCCTTATCTTTCTTCTGAAACTCGGAATTCATTTGTGGAAGACCGATCTTCCGTACCGTCTGCAAATCCACCCAAGCCTTCGTGCAACTTATAGGTTGTTGGACCTTAGATTCTTTACGTTGTTTATGCGCCGGCCTTTGGTTTTCCCCTGATCTGCTCATCTGACTGCTCCTGGATTCAAACTTGGGGGTCTGTATTTCAACAGTTCATGGGTCATCTGTGGAAGACCTATAGTCCATAGCGTCTGCAAATCCACCCAAGCCTTCGTTCAAACCTTAGGTTGTTGGGCCTTAGATTCTCTCCCTCCCCACAACAGTTCTTGTCTTCATGCAGGATGGACGCTGCCTCCGGATTGTCTCTCAACTATCTGTTTGTGAGTTGTGAGGCATGTCGTCATGTATTAGGATATGGTTAGATTATTCACCTTAGGTTGCTCGATTATGTAATCCAACTCTCGATCTTTAGCTTTTTTTGTGTTTGTACCTCGCCCACTGTGTCCATGCATATAAGAGGAGTTTGAACCTCGCTGTGTTGCAACTGCTGACCTGTCTCAGACTTTTCTACTGATCTGTACCAATTGTCCTCTCTGTGTAGAATGATCAAGAATCCACCAGATTGTCGCTCAACCTACGCGAATGTTGCGTCATGTATCGGAATCGTTCAAGGTCCAAGGTCTTTCTTGCATGATGTGAAATTGAGTTGTGCCAAGGTCTTGCTTGCATGATGTGAAATTGAGTTGTGTAAGGTGTAGGTTCTACGCATGGGCATACTTATGAATGTTTGCATGGTGGAATGAATATGGTGCGGCGTGGGTTGGGGAGTGGATGGCTTAGGTCACGACGCACACTCGAGTGGCCGCCAAACATTACGGTTTATCACCCATCCAAGCTCACGAACTGTCTTGTATCATGGTTTGTCTTTTCCCGGGTTTCCCCAATAGAACGACCGGTCATTATTGTCGCGCATCCGGACTGAAAGTTCCACCCAATGCAGATATATGACCAGACGTTCTATTCGGTTGAAGACTGTCTTGAACTCACATCCATACCTCTTCATATGTGGGTGAAAAGTTGTGCCTCCTATCTGGCACAGCCTGCGAGCATCAGGTCCTGCCAGTAGCATGTTAAGGATGCTGGTACCTGGCCACTTCACTGACCGCCTAAGGACAAACATAGCCATCGATGGGGTCTGGCCCCAAGAAATATAGCAATAGCCAGGGAACTTCCAGTGTAGGTACCCTCTGTAGTTACCTCCGTGCTGGTATCGATGGTTTGGGTTAGGTACACTCTGCTGTAAGCCCTTCCCCACAGTCTCAAGGCACCTAAATCCTAAATTCATGATAGTGGCTCCAGGCCCTCAGAAGGCATTCTTATCTGCTTGTCCTCCACCCCCCTAATGCGTCGGTGCATTGGATTGACAAGCGCCGCAGCTTTGCGGTTAGGCGATCAGAGTCATGGGGATGGCCTGTGTAACAGACGTGTGGGGCATACAATGGGCCAGTGCTCACAGATGGAGCATTGGTGTTGCTGTTGTTAGGAGCTCACCAAACGCCAACTTGACAGGTCGCATGATCTTTTTCAGACTGCAGGGTCGTCGTGTAATGCTTTGCGAACCGTCTATCGCGCAGCCACATTGCACCACTACTGTACAGCTGACGAGCGGGCGATCATTTCCTAATCCCAGGAGACGGTGGGGTAATTTCCATTCCATGGCCCCCCCTGTCCAGAGGATATTTGCATGTAAGCATTCTCCAGGAGGGACATTTGACAGTTTTGGTCAAACTTGGTCAACGTTGCGAGCATGGTATAAGGATATTGTTGAGATAAGAACACTGTACTGAAACTCGCCCCCCTCGGTTTACACCGAGGGGCGAGCTATCTACATTAGTGCGTCGTTTACTGACACGACACGACACGATAACCGCGAACTGCATCTATACAGCGGCAATTTTGACCGGCGGACGGAAGGGACGGGGTGACTTACGCTTCGCAGCGATCGGTTATGGTAAAGGAACACACTCCTAAGGCTAGCTAATACAGGCGCACACATCGGAAAGGTTAGGACTTCATCTAAGGTGGGTCGGGCGCTAAGGTTGTCATGACTTAGAGGGAAGGGGACCACCAGGGGGAGGGGGGACAGTTTTGAGATTGTTTCCTAAGGCTCTTCCGCCATAGGTTGCAGTGCAGCTATGGCACATCGGTAGTCCCATCGAAAGTGTCAAACCCATCTGAAGTTTGCTGACCAGGGTTTGGACCGTTTGACGGCTTTTTCTTCTTTTTCTTGATGGTGTATGAAGACCCGCTGCCTCCTCCGACTCCGGAGGCTCCGCCCCCACCACTGCCTGCTCCACTTCCTGCACTTCCTCCTCCTGTCGAGTTGCTTATGCTTGCTCCCGCGTCAATCTCTCCCTGCCCACCTGATAACCCTTGGATTGCACTCACGGTCACCATGGACTTCGCAGATGCGTTATCGTAGTCCGATTCCCCGGTTATCACCGCGGCGCCCCCACCACCGGCTGCGCCGGTTCCGTTGGATTGTCCGCTGCTACCTGAGCCCGAACCAAAACCATCAGTCTTGAATATATCGGAATCAATATGGGACTCACTGGTTCCGGAACCTCGCGACGCTTTCCCTCCTCCTGCACCGCCGCCTCCCGTGACCACTGCTCCTGAATAGTACGAAGAACTGGCCTCGACAACTGCAACTGTCTGGGATGATGCGTCCTGGTCTGAGGGATTGGTCCCATAGCTGGTACTAGATCCGGATGCGGAGCCACCCCCGGCAGTGGATGCCGCGAGGCCAGCCCCTCCAGCAGAAGCCTCCCCTTCGCCACTCCCCTCACTAACTGCCTTTGTGTTTAGCCCTCGTAGCTGCCGCCGGAAAGATATGTAGGCCTCTGCGGAAATAGACACGCGGACAGAAAATGTACCGTACGATCGTTAATCCTCTAAACTTGTGACCAATTGCGGGAGAACAAAAAGACAGAAAACGTCAAGAAAGCGACTGAAGGTGACGACAAACACTGTGCCCGCCTCCTCACCAAGATCGACTGGTTGATAGTTAACACTGAAAAGGGGTAATCTCCCTTCTTTTAACGCACACAAAAAAAGACAAACAAAGAATAAATAAATAAATAAATAAAAAACAGAAAAAGCACATAGTTGTGGTAGTTGCATCCGCGCGGTCGGTAAGCATGTACCGCAGAAAATAAATTTAAATAAAAAAAAAAAAACAGAAAAAGCACTAGGGCTATTTCGCCCTAGTGCCTCGCTTACCCTCAACGGCTTCCCCCCCCCCCCCCTCCCTCTCCCCCGTTCCCTCCCAATCGATTTGAAGTTACACTCAACCCTTCACAGCTGTCCCCACTATACATCCACTCCGCCAGCGATCGTCCCCCTTCCACGCTTACCGTCCCCGACTCCCCAACTACACACAGTGCTGCTCCCTTCCGCCCGCAGACTTCATTCTAGCTGTCCTACGGCCAACAAATCGATCATCCCCACTTTCTGGTTATGATTATTACACACCCACTAATGAGCTCGCCAACAACTCCCTCCTACCACTCTCGCCTACAGCCTCACTACAGCGTTCTCCGCCGCCCACCTTACTTGATCCAGCCAATAACACACCCACTAATGAGCTTAGTGCCAACAACTCCCTCCTACCACTCTCGCGTACAGCCTCACTACAGCGTTCTCCGCCGCCCACCTTACTTGAGCCAGCCAATAACTTCCCTTTCCCTTCTCCTGGACTTTCAAGCGCCCTTTGTTCCTCTCTCTCTCCATGCCCCCAACCTGCCTCCCCGGCGAGAACACTCCCCTTAGCGCTTGCCAGACATCTACTGTCTTCCAGCACAACATCTATGAGACGGCAGTGATTAGAAAAACAAATGAACATAAGAAAAAAAGAACGAAAAAGAATAAATGCGAAAAGGAATTTGTGGAGATAGAAGCACGTCATAGTATGGTCAAACTACTTTGTCATTCATCACACATCCAAAAGCCGCCAACCGGACTGCACTTGCCTATAATACACACTTTCTCATGTTCTCTTTTTCTTAACCCACCTGACAAGAACAGGAGGCAATTGTTTTTTTTTTTTGTTTTTTTTTTGGACCATTTCTCGGTTTATGTGTGTCATCCTTGAAAGCGCAGGGGGCCAGGGGCCATGCTAATCTTCTCTGTATCGTTCCAATTTTAACGGATGTCCTGAGGGACAGAGCAGGAGGCAATTGTAAAACCGGGATAGGACATGAAAATAGAACAAAGAATTAACATAACATAAACAAGACCAGACCGGGACAAAAACGAGAGAGAGAGAGAGAGAGAGAGAGAGAGAGAGAGAGAGAGAGAGAGAGAGAGAGAGAGAGAGAGAGAGAGAGAGAGAAACTTCAAAACCAAACAGCCTGCATTGCGAAACTCTGTCAGCTACTCGGTAGGTTAGTGTTGTTCCTCCCAAAGGAACAATAAGCTTAGTTGATTTTGAGGGGAGGCTCGGTAGCCTACCCCACTACAGCCGCTGCCCCCATCTCCAACCTCCCCCCCTCGGGTCAAGAGTATCAACTTATCACCACCAAACATGGCGCAGACCTTCCAACACCGCTACAGCTCAGTCCAAGTGGCCATGCCACAACCCATCGGAAAGAGCCCATCATAGAGGAATGAATCTACACTTAAACCGCCTGTGCCTTTCCCATATATCGGTCGCGGGAAAAGACAGACCAGAAGCGTTTCTAGTCGGATGAATTTGGGCGCTCCCAAAGTGGCCTGTTCATTCAAGTTGTAGTTTGTATACCACCGCGACTTTCGGAGGTAGTGATGGTTTAAATTCCTGCTGGAATCACGACAAATGAAAGTTTAAAAAAAATCACAACAAAGCTGAGAAACAATGATGGAAGAGGAGAGGAAGTGCCAGCGTGGGGCTATCCGAAGGAAAACACCATAGCCACCAACGAACTACATGAAAAACATGCCTTCACCGTCACCTTCTCCAATGCAGGGAAAACGAAGTGGTTAGTGAAGTCAATTCAACAATACAAGAACATCAAGGGCTGCACTTCAGGGAGTACACATCTGATTGAGACTGATGTTACGC